ATATATATATATATATATATATATATATATATATATATATATATATATATATATATATATATATATGAAGAAGAAGGACTCTGGAAATTGCTTAATAAACATGGAAGAAGAAGAATTAAGTGGGAATAAAGAGGGTGAATGTGAAGGCTTTCAACGAAGGGCAAAATAAAAAATAAAGAGTTGATTAGAGGTAGTAAAAGTGTGTGAATGAGGGAGGTGGAGAGGGGGGGTGAGAGTAAAGGGAGAGGTGTCTGTGTATCCCAGGTAATTGGTACCCACTTTATTGGACCCTTCCGTTTCCCGCCCACTTTTGGGTTTTTATTTATGACATCCGTTGTTGTATATGGGCGTCTCCTGTCTGTAGTTCTGGACTGGCAAGTCCTGGAACGCTCGTCTGCTTAAATTGTAATCACTTAGTATTCACGTAATTGTGCTTGCGGGGGTTGAGCTCTGGCTCTTTCGGCCCGCCTCTCAACTGTCAGTCAATCAAATTTAATTTTTCCCACACACACACACACACACACACACACACACACACACACACACACACCACACACACACACACACACACACACACATTTCCTGCAATGTGTGTATTCACGTAATTGTGCTTGCGGGGGTTGAGCTCTGCTCTTTCGGCCCGCCTCTCAACTGTCAATCAACTGTTTACTAACTACTGTTTTTTTCCACACCTAACACACACACACCCCAGGAAGCAGCCCGTAACAGCTGACTAACTCCCAGGTACCTATTTACTGCTAGGTAACAGGGAGCATGTGTGTGTGTGTGTGTGTGCATCTGTAATATGTATTTGTATGCTTCTTTGTGTACTTTTGTACTCCCTTGGAGAACATGCTATGGAATATGCATATGGAATATGTTCTCCATATGCTTGGAGAACACAATTTTAGCTCTTCCTCTCTAACTTTGGTTCGTCTAATGGGATAACTCCCTACCTCTTTACATGTTGCGTTATTTGTTTTCAAAAATTCGAATGGATGTAACCCATATTTCATCGATACTCCTATTTAGGGTATTTAGAGAAATATTTATCGAAATAGGGTAACCTTTATTTCATCGGTATTTTATATGTGCGAATCATGGCCTCTCTCTTTTCTTCCTTTCTTCTAATGGTTAAATTTAGTTACCTCCGTTTATCTTTGCAGAAAGCTTCTGTCTTCTCCAGTCTTCGTTTTGTGCTTTTTGAGGTATTTGAGTGTTCAAGTATGCAGCATCAAAGTCGCGAATTCTAACACTGATTAAACTTATTCTGTGTAAAACATTTTTAACGCGTCCTTATTTGGGCTCTTGAGGGGTTTTCCTAGCAAAGTCTGTTTTACTGAATTGCACTTGCAAGAGCTTCGAGTAAGATTGAGATTGAAGCCTTGGGCGTATTTAAGCTAGACTCAACCGGATGCCATGTTGTACAGCCGACAAGATTATCAGTACCATTCGCTTATCGCTGGGTCTTCCTAACTCCTGAATGAACCTAGTGAAGGGATTCAGTTGGCAGCAGGTTGTGCGTCAAAATTTATTTCTGGTTTATGTAAAGGTGTAATATTATGAAAGTTAATTTGTTTATTCCTATTTTACGAGTCGGGGAAAGGATTACTGGTTATAAGATAATAACAATTTTCCTCCGTATATTTCTCAGATTCTTTTTTAATATCGTTCCTACTCAAATTTATCACCAACTTTCCCAGTCTTTATTCTCCCAATATTTTAAAATCTACCTTATCCCTATCTCTCCCTCATTCTACTTTCACCTCATTTGGAGCCTCCCTTATGTTCTTCTTCCCCCATCCTCCAAGTTATGACCCCTCCCCCCCCCCCCCATGTAATGGCCCCCCCTGCCTGTGAAAAATTATGCGTGTCAGCCTATGGTTGTAAATCGATAATATAATAGCCAGCGAATTATGGACGAGAGTGAGAATCGTACCCGCGCACCGTGTCAAGCTTTCCCAGTACACCGAATATATATCTGGATCGCCCTGAAGCTAATACGAAAATCAGCTTCAACTTGAACTTCTTTCTAAACTTTGGTTCAAATTGGATCACTTTCAAGTAGCATTGAGGTTAGATCATACAAGATTAGACTCTGGTGAGTTAAGATTCGTGTGTTGTTTGGGTGGTTATCTTGAGGTTGTTTCGGGGCTTAGCATCCATGCGGCTCGGTCTTCGACCAAGCCTTCTTTTTGTTACACCCAGGAAGCAGCCCGTAGCAGCTGTCTAACTCTCAGGTACCTAATTACTGATAGGTGAACAGGAGCATCAGAGTGAAAGAAACTCAGGTGTCAGCTGTCAGGGGTGGGTTCGAGCAGCTGTCTAACTCCCAGGTACCTATTTACTGCTTAGTGAACAGGCGCATCAGGGTGAAAGAAACTCTGCCCAGTTGTTTCTGCCTCGGCCGCGAATCGAACTCGGGCCCTTAGGACTACGACCCCCGAGCGCTGTCCATTCAGCCGCGAGGTCCCTGTGTGCGTGTGTATGTGTGTGTGTGTGTGTGTGTGTGTGTGTGTGTGTGTGTGTGTGTGTGTGTGTGTGTGTGTGTGTGTGTGTGTATAAATTTGCGTGTCCTTGCGAGTGTTGTGAGCGCATGTATATTCAGATTTTTTTAATAAGCGTACATGCCCTAACACAATTGCGTACACATGTGACTGGGTTTGCGTGCAGCCCACGCGCGTGCCGCATGTCGGTGTTTGAGTATGTAAATGAGAACTGTTATAAAAAATTATATTTCCCAATAATCTTTAGTGCAGCTTGAATACCAAAAAAAAAAAATAATAGGCATATGGGGTGGATGGAAGGGTCAACTAGGGGGGGGGGACGTCCCTCCTCCCCTCCCTATCCCCCATTACCTCATTTATCTCCCCCTTTTTATTCTCCCTTGCCCTCTTATTTCTCTATTTTTCATCTTCCATTTTCATTCGCTATATAGTCTACGTTATTCTTCGATTCTGCCAATATACATTCTTCATTCAACCTTCTTATCTGTTTTGTTTCTGTTTTCCTCTTTTATACCTCTCGGCCATACTCCATCTCTATTTCTATCATCCATCTCTACTTCACCCTCCATCTCTATTTCTATCATCCATCTCTACGTCCACCCTCCATCTCTACCTCCCTCCCTCCCTCCATCCCGTGCCCAGCCACCATTAATACCCTGACACACAGCGGGTGTTTACTGGGCGGTCAGCTGGGGGCACGTGGCGCCCCTCTCCCCGCACGCGCGTGTGCTTGCGCGCGAGTCCGAATCAACGGGTTCTTGCGTGAGCCCGTGATTTATTTCCTGCTCTGCGTCTCCCCCTCTTCAACTTTCCCTTTCTGTGTGTTGCCTTCTCTTGTTGCATTTTCCTCCGTTTGTTTTCTTTATTTTATAGTTTCCTCTTCTTTCTGTCTTCTTCCTTTATTGTCGTCTCTTCCTGCCTCCCTTCCCCTCCCCTGTTCTTCCCTCCTGCCTTCCTCCGCCCTTCTACACAGTGGGACTCCTGCCATCTGCGTGCCATGGCTGTGGTTAATGGCCCAGCCTGTGGATGGGTATTTCCTATCTTCCTCCCTATCTCTTGCCTTCCCTTCCCATCACTCTGTCAACCTCCACTTCCATCTCTCATCTTTGGCTTCCTTGCTTATGTGTTCCACACACTCGTTGTCTTTTCCTTTTCTGATCTTTTTCACTTATATTTCGCTCTTTCTTCTATCTCTCTCGCTGTTTATTCCTAATGTTTCTAAACCCTCACATGGTTCCACCCTTTCTCCACCAATATTTCAATTGTTCTTCTCCCACCCTTCTTTGCTCTCTCTCCTCCACTTTCTCCCTCCTTCACTCTCTCCTCTACTCTCTCCCTCCTCCATCCTCTCCCTCTTCTACTCCCTCCCTCCTCCACTCTTCCTCCTCCACTCACTCTCCTTCACTTTCTAGCAGTTAATTATCGTGTTTGTTTCAATTAAAATTAAAATTGTATATGCCTTTTTTATCTTGATAAGTTTCAAATAAGAGGACAATAAAACACTGGTGAAGGCGCCATTAGCGAGAGAGGCATATCGACAAGTATAACAGGTATGGATGTGTCTAATGGCTGTGTATATATCATATTAACATTACCTCTGTACATATTGTTTTCTGTGTGGTAAGGGGTGACTCGTGCAAGTCACAGTGAGTGTTAATGTGGGCGTTTTGACGCGGGTTTGGTGCTCTGGACGCGCTGTGTTGACGATGTTTCAACGCACGAGACGCGCTGTGTTGGCATTTTAATGCTCGAGACGCGCTGTATTGACGCTGTTTCAACGCACGAGACGCGCTGTGTTGACGATGTTTCAACGCACGAGACGCGCTGTGTTGGCATTTTAATGCTCGAGACGCGCTGTATTGACGCTGTTTCAACGCACGAGACGCGCTGTGTTGACGCTGTTTCAACGCACGAGACGCGCTGTATTGACGCTGTTTCAACGCACGAGACGCGCTGTGTTGACGCTGTTTCAACGCACGAGACGCGCTGTGTTGATATTTTAACGCGCGAGACGCGCTGCGTTGACATTTTAATGCTCGAGACGCGCTGTGTTGACGTTGTTTTGATGCTCGAGACGCGCCCTGTTTAGACGATATTTTTTACGCCCGAGAAGCGCAGTGTTGACGCTGTTTGTTACGCTTGAAACGTAGTGTGCTGACGCTTGAGTCGCTTATATGACTGTCATAACATAGTGCTTGCCTGGTGGCGTCCTAGAGGGCAATGATATACTGGTGCTTGGCTGTATAGATATAGTTCGTTGACTACGCTTTGTTACCCTGCCTGCAAGAGTGAGTAGTGTAGAGTGCTGCTGGATACACCCGAGCCCGCGACGTAGTGGTTCAGGGTGTTGTTAACCTTAGGAATTATATGTTTAGGGTTTACTGAAGAAGAATTGGTAACTTTTGGTAATTAATTACATTTGGATATATTATAGCGTGTGATAACGTGTGCGTGCAGTGTTAACTAACGCGCGTGTCTCTCCCCGCAGGTTGGTTGCGAGCTGGCCGGCGGGCTGCCTGACGCCCCCCCCCAACACACCACCGTGGCTGCCAACTCGGCCCCCCTGGCGGCCTACCCGCCCGCCCCAGATATGTCCCACATGTCCTCCTACTACAACGCCTACCCGGACTACCGGCCGCCCCACCCGCCCGATGAATACCCGGGCGGCCAGGGCGGGGGTGGGGGCGGCGGGGGGCACTGCGGCCAGGAGTACGACCCCCGGATGCCCCCGACACACCCGTACTACACCCAACAAGGCTACCCGCGCTACCCGCCCTACGACAGACTCATGAACAACTACTACAACGCGCAAACCCCTCAGCACCCTCACACTCCGCACGGCATGCAGCCCCACGACGCCCACGACTACCGCGACCCCTCACCCGCCGCGCCCACCTGCATGGGTCAGCAGGCCTCCCCGCCCGTGCAGCAATATCCCTCCTGCAAGATGGCGGGGCAGGGGCCTCCTCAGCAACCCCAGCAGCCACAGCAACAACAGCCACAGCAACAGCCCCCGGGCATGGACCCCAACGGTGGTCCTCCCCAGGACACCTCGCTGCACATGGCCGCGCAGGACCACCAGGGCTGGGGTGCACAACAGCAGCCCCAGCAGCAGCAGCAGAACGCGTCCTCAGCCCTCCCCTCACCCCTCTACCCTTGGATGAGAAGTCAGTTCGGTAAGTCAAGCTCCGTTTGTTTCATATTATTCTTACCATTATTCACTCGACTGTCTTCTGTCTCTCCTTCTCTCTCTTTTTGTATATTGAAGTCTTGAAGTCTTGAAGTCTCCGTTGAAGTCTTGCAGTGTAGGGTAAATGTTCTTGGCTTTACACAAATTGATGTTCCTCCGCTCAAAATGTTAGGCCCTATAAACATATATATGTATTAGGCCCTATATATATATGCAACCGATAACAATTATCATGACTTTTATATATCATAACTCCACCTAGTTTACTTATTGGGAACAGTAGCATTAGGTACAAAGAAATGTGTATAAGCGGGGGGTGAGGATGGGTGTTTGTTGGTGGCCCCTGGGAAGATAAGGGGGTGAATTGTGCCTGTTGTTACCCTAGGCAAAAGAAAGGCGTGAAGGGGGCTTGTTGATACCCCCTAGGCAAAGAAGGGGGGCTTGATGGGGTCCCCGGGTAGAGAAGGGGCAGAAGAGTGGCTAAGGACAGAGGAGTGGGTGAAGGCTTCTTGTAGGCGCCCCTGAATAGAGATGGGTGCCTGTTGGTGGCCCACGTGGCTGGCCGAAGCAACAGGCTTCTGGTTCCTCGACCTTGAAGATGACGTTCCGTGAGCATCGCCTCGCCGCTCTCCTACCCTGTGCCACCCGTCCTGCTAGGAATGATTAGTTAAATAATTAAATATTTAATAATATATATTGTTACACCGTCCTCGGACAGTTCTCTTGGGGTATAAGAGGATTTTTTAATAGAATTATTCAAATCGGCAGGGCTCGGAGGTCGTAGTCTTTAGACCCGAGGTTCGATTCCCGTTCGAGGCAGAAACAATTGGGTAAAATTTCTTTCACTTGGTGCTCTTGCTCACCTACAAGTAGGTATCTGGGAATTAGACAGCTGCTACGGGCTACATCCTAGGAATCCTAGGAAAATGTGTGAGAGATATATGTAGGTGATAAAGGAGAAACAGGCCATGGAGTCATTAAATTAAACAACCGACGGTTAGAAAGGCGGGGCCCTTGAGCTAACACCTCTATCTTGCAGGCACAAATAGTAAAACACACACAAACACATACACAATATATACCCCTTCTAATACGTTATTTGATAAGTATTCAGTTGCACTAGAATTTGCATAACAGATCTCAAAACACGTCCATACCAACAATTACATTTAACAAAGTTCTCCAAGGTCAGCAGGCATCTATGATGCAGTAGAAAATATGAAAACATATATATATTCTTCTATGACAAATGAGCATTCAAATAGGTAGATAACAAATTAATCTAAATAATCGTATATCAAATTCGTCTCAAAATTAGTTTTACACATGAAGCAGTTGATTAAAAAGATAATTTCATTTTAATAAGCAAGTCAATGTATATCCTGGGTAAATACTGGTTGGGAGACAGGGTTGTAGATTTATGACACAAATTACCACGTAACATAATGGACGTGGGATTGCTGGATAGTTTAAAATGTAGGTTAGACATGAATGAGTTAGTGCGGATATAAATAGGAGCTGCCTCGTATTGACCAATATAAGCCTTCAGCAGTTTCATTTATTCTGGAATTCGTATGTCAAAGGAAAGAAAAGTAGTTTGTAAACAAAAAGAAAAAAATATGGTTCCCTGAGCGGCCGGTCAACCATACATAAGTGGGTCGGCAGGGCACTAACCCTTAATCCAGATGCGGTCAGCGGCGTCTCGTTTATGGCGTGTCGTAAAAAGTGTGTGTGTGTGTATGTGGGTGTGTGTATGTGGGTGTGTGTGTGTGTGTGTGTGTGTGTGTGTGTGTGTGTGTGTGTGTGTGTGTGTGTGTGTGTGTGTGTGTGTGGTGTGGGGTGTGTGTGTGTGTGTGTATACTCTCCGAGTTGTGCTACGAGGGTTGAACTTTGGCTTTTTGGTCCCGCCTTTCAACCGTCAATCTACTGGTGTATAGATTCCTGAGCTTCTCGAGCTCAATCATATCTACACACAGAATTCACAGTTGGGTGATGCATCAAATGAACAAATCCACAAGGGCCGTGACGAGGATTTGAACCTGCGTCCGAGAGCATCCCAGACGCTGCCTTAATCGACTGAATTTGTTCAGATGTGGATTTGTTCATTGATATCTACATTTGAAACTGTGTATGGAGTCAGCCTCCACCACATCACTTCCTAGAGCATTCCTTTTACTAACTACTCTGACACTGAAAATGTTCTTTCTAATGTCTCAGTAGCTCATTTGGGTACTCCACCTGTGTACCCTTTTGCATGTACCACCCGTATGTGTACTCACCTATTTGTGCCTGTAGGATCGAGCTTTGACTCTTGGATCCCGCAAGTGAGTGTGTGTACTCACATAAACATACTATTCTACATGTGTAAGCAGAGTCCTCGGACTAGCTACTGAGCCTCTCAAATAAGAGTTTCGTGTCTGCTTCTGAAACTATTTGTTATATTACTTTATCTGCTCCTAAAACGAAGCTTGATTAACGATCTGACTGTAAGCCTTGTTACCACATGTGTAACCTCTAGTTTCCCTCCTTATGCTCCTGTGCTGCCTCGTCTGATACTTGACCATGGGCTCTTTATTGCTCGTGACCATTTTCCCCTGAGAATCTTATTTGACGTTATATTTTTCTCGTTCTCATAGTGTGCGTGTATTTATGTGTGCGTGCTTGTTTCCTCTTTGCGTGCTTGCATTTCTGTGTGCGTTCTCTCACCACTTTCTACCCCCCCCCCCTCCGTGTGGTAGGGGGGGGGAAAGCTTTGTGGTTGAAGGGAGTTGGGTAAGTTATACAAGTGATGGATCAGCTCGCGTACACACACACACACACACACACACACACACACACACACACACACACACACACACACACACACATTCTCATTGTGGTACACATACACACACAGTCTCTCTCTCACGTCCAACTTCTCCCACTATGTCTTTCCCACGACTCAGTCCCATGCAGACAAATGAAAGAAAGTCAGTACGCCTTTCCCTACATTCAACAATGGGTTAAATCCTCTCCAAGACGAAGACGTCTACTAAGAAAAGGAAAAAAATACGAAAGGATCGTCTGAGCTTCCTCAAAGCTGTCCTGTACAATGGGGACCATAGATCCTTTGCGGCTACCTCCTGTCTTCTTGCCGAGTCCGGAAGGCCCTAAACTTAATTAAGGTATGGGACAAGATTGGAGCGGTGTGACAAGACCTTCTGTGTGTGTGTGTGTGTGTGTGTGTGTGTGTGTGTGTGTGTGTGTGTGTGTGTGTGTGTGTGTGTGTGTGTGTGGCGGCTTGAATTTCTACCTTCCTGGAGTAGTTTGTTCTGTGCTCTGTGTCTGTGTGGATGCAAGTGGATGCAGTAGGTGAGGATTTTTGTTTATTTTCTCACGTAGTCTTAAAATATTTGTTGAGTTATTTTGGATAGATATAGGAAGATGGTTCTGACAGAAATGATTGATGGGTGATTGATGTTTGTATATGTGTGTACGTATGTATTTTATATTTGTACCTGCAGAATCGAGTTGTTAGCTCTTGGACCCCCACCTTTCTAACCAATCTTTTTTCCTCTATCATGTGTACTACATATATGTCGTATATATGTCGTGTGTCTCAACACACGCACACATCCCCAGGAAGCAGTCCGTAGCAGATGTCTAACTCCCAGGTACCCATTTACTGCTAGGTGAACAGTAAACAAGTGGTTGAAATATATCAGGGTGAAAGAAACTGCCCATTTGTTTCTGTCTCGACCGGGAGTCGAACCCGATTCCTTAGGACTATGACCCCGGAGAGCGGTTCACTCAGCCGTGAGACCCCTAAAGGCGTGGCTGTGTGTGTGTGTGTGTGTGTGTGTGTGTGTGTGTGTGTGTGTGTGTGTAAATATTGCATATATTTGCATGTATGCAATACTTGTCTTTTGTTTAATAATGTTTTGTTATATCCTTGAGACTTAGCTCAAATATACATTGCGTTACTGTCGTTATATGAAATGTGTCAATTTATATATTGTTTGCTTAAATACACAAATTTATATAGTTTTCGTTATAAAACCTTCTGCGGCTCCCCTGTAGAGCGCGATAACGTACGGAGAACACCGGAATGATGAAGAAACGGTCAGTCTGCCAAGATGACAGATGTGCCTGTCGTGTGTATAACAGTCAGGAAGAACAAGGTCGTTCAACCTCTACCCCCTTTTGTTGTTTTGATTTTTTTTTATCTCTGGATCGATCACAGTTGCTTCCCGCCAAAAAAAATAAGAATTAGTGCACACGTTTCGCGCCAAAGATTATCAGCTAATATTTCACCCACCAAAGACTTTCTGGTTAAAATTTTTGCGTCGAATTTCACGTTTTATTCATACAACCGAAAGGTCTCCTGTGAATCATTTACTATTTTGATATATTTCACAAGGATTTGTTAAGTACTGTATGATAACAAAGTGTCCCCATTAAAATTATTATTGTTTAGAATTATTATTATTATTATTATTATTATTATTATTATTATTATTATTATTGGTATTATTATTATTGAAGGTGAAGGAAAGATCCAGTGTATATGTAAGTGTATTAAAAACTAATTTTTTGGATTTAGGTGCTGTATACAATGTATATAGACCGTTGTATACAACACCTTGAGAAAGGATCTAGGCTACATCCAATATTTTTTTAATGCACTTAAACATGTATTGGGTCTTTCCTTCACCTTCATTCATGCACTATGGCATTGTTGTAAATTTGTCCATTGTTATTATTATTATTATAGGCCTTCTTACAAATAGGATTTCACATTCATGTGCCCATCGACACTCAATTATGAAGGGACGAAGACGTTTCTTAAGTCGATTGTGGACGGAATGGTCCAGGACGGACCGAAACGTCGTCGTCCCTTCATTTTCTAGTGTGTGGATTGGTCAACACTCAATTATGTATAGAATATGCACATCCACAGGACTGGACATTTTGTATTTATTAGCGAACTATAAATTCTGCGTATCGTAGATGCTTCTGTTAAACACTCCATATCTTCATTACTAGTCAAGCAAAAGTACCGATTACCATCTAGGCATTATCTCCCACCTTTTCTCATAATTGTGTTCTATCTATATTTACCGCCTTCCGTTCACCACCTTCCT